TATATATATATATATATATATATATATATATATATATATATATATATTAAAATAAATATAATGTCCCTATTTCACAGATTTTCACCTATAGCAGGGGATGACTGGAACCTAACCCCTGCGATAAGTGAGGGACTACTAGAATTCTAAAGTGATTTTTTTTTTTCTTTTGCTATCTTTCTGTAGGTGTGTAGAACTTGTCATTTGTGAGCAGATGAATAAATACAAAGTGCGACTAAAGGACATCAGCACCCTGGAGTTTGCTGAGAATAAAGCCAAATGTAAACTGAGTGTCATTCGACGATCGATGGTAAGATCAAACCCTGGTCCACTTTAGCCGTATTCTCCATCATGTCCTTCTTTCTCAGCAGCAGCTTACCTCCTCCTCAGTTCTCTCCCTAACATGTCTTTTCCTTTATTTAGAGACCAGTACTAATAGCTATTAGATTTATGAGCGTTGCACATATTATGGTATGTACCTTGGATGTCATCCTCAAACTGTCATCCTGTGTTGTGGAAAAGATCAGTGCTAAACCATCTCCTCAAATACTCACATCTGTCTTCTTCCCAGAGCATGAACACTTCTTTTCTGTGTTTTGTAAGTGTCTCTTGTTAAATGGCATTAAGGTTGTCGTGCAATCACACAGTCACAATTGATTATATTTACTCAATGTTACACGACTCGGGAACATACAACCATGAATTTAAAAAATTTAGGATGTTGTGTAAAATGTAAAACAGAATGCATGGATTTCCAAATTTCACAAACGCATAATTTATTGACAGTTGCACATAGTAAACATAGCAGATGTTTAAACTTGGAAAAGGGACCTTTATTTAGGTAATTTTGAATTTTATAGCTGCGACACATCTCCAAAATGTTTGGACAGAGGCAACAGCAGGCTGTAAAAGTAAGCTTGACTAAAAAATAAAATAAAAATAAAAACAGCGTGAGCATTTTGCAGCTAATTAGCTTATTTAGCAATAAGTCAGTCAGAGGACTGAGTATAAAGATAGCATTTTAGAGAAGCTCCAAGTCTCAGAAGTAAACAAAAGGATGAGGTTAACAAATCTGCAAAACATCGGTCTAAAATATGATTTCATAATAATAATAATAATGTTCCTACAAAATATTAGGAAGACTGAATAAATGAAAAGAACAAAAGTTTTGTTACCAGGGATTTTTGAACCTCAGGCGTAAAAGCAGATGTGATTCAGTTCTTGACATCACTGCAGCAGCGCAGGAACTCTTCCACAGAGTATTGCCTGTAAACACGGTTTGTTGTGCCATCCACAAAGTCTGGGTAAAGCTCTTTCGTGGAAGGAGGAAGCTGAACGTGAACGTCGTCCAGAAATGCTGCACTCTTTGAACCAAAGCTCCTTTAAAACGATCTGAGGCAGAGAGGAAAAACTGCTCCGTGGTCAGATAAATCAGAGGTTGAAATTATTTTTGGAAACCATGGATGGTCCAGGAGAGGGACAGTCCAGCGTTTTCAGAGCTCAGTTCAAAAGCCTGCCTCTATGGTGGTATGGGTGTGCATTAGACCTTCTAGCAGGGGCAGCTTGCACATCTGGAAAGGCACCATAATCATGCAAAAAAGACCCAGGACTACTGAGCAGCTGGAATCCTACATCGGACAGGACTGGGACATTCCCCTCCAAATCCTCCAGCAGCTGGTCTGCTCTCAGGTCCTAGATCAGGACTATTCAACAAAACTGCTTGCATTAAGTCATAAATGCCTTTCACCAGAGTTTAGATCACTGGTTTGCTCAAATGGGAAATGCTGAAAAAAAAATCTAAGCTGTTCATAGAAATCTAAAGTAACAATTCCTTTTTATTATTTCAACTCAACTTAATTTAGGTAAATTAACAACATTACAAAAAAGGAAAAAATATAAAATTATATTTTACAAATTAATAATTTACCCCCAAAAAAAGAATAGGCTGAAGCCAAGGTTTATACCAGTCTACATAATGAACGATATACTGTCCATATACATACAGTAAGTACATAAATTCACATACGCATATATATATATATATATATATATATATATATATATACACATACATTACATATACATGTTACACAATATATATATATGCATCTATATAACAGTATAAGCTTTAATAATTTTACATTTTAAGGCTCTTTTAAAGCTCACCAAAAAAGCATGTAATTTGAGATTATCATTCAATTCTTTCCACAGTTTCATGCCAATAACTGAAATGCATCTGGATTTTACTTTACTTTTCTTTTTACCTTGTTCAAATATTAACAAACCTCTTAAATTATATTTACTCTTAATTTAGATAATTTCTGAATTCCAGAAGGAAGACTTTTATTCAGTGCTTTATACATTATTTCCAGTATTTTTATGTATACAATGTCATTAAATGTTGAAGTACTACTTTGAATTAAAAGTTTATTAGTTGGTTCACAATATCCCACTTTATTAATAAGCTTAATTGCTTTTTTTTTTTTTGTATCTTTACTAATATATCAGTAGTTTTATTTGCATTTCCCCATATATCTGAGCAATATGACAAGTAGGGCATAACCAAGGAATAGTATATAATTTGCAAGCCTTTTACATTCAATCTTTTATTTTAAACAATATTACAATAGTTTATGCAATTTTATTTGTAATATATTCAATAAATTTGTTGTCCAGAATCATACCTAAAAAATTTCTCATTTAACAACAACTTTACATTATTGTAAATCCGATTACAGAAAATACCATAAATTTAGTTTAGTTTTTTTTTTCCATTTAAAGATAGCTTATTATAATCAAACCACTTTTTTAATTCAGCTAGCTCTTTTTCTACTATTTGTATTAGTTCATCCATATTCTTTCCAGGGGGGTGGGGTGTTATGCCGCCCCCTGCTGGAGGCCGCCCTGGGCGCCGCCCATGTCGCCCATATAAGGAACCGCCACTGCTGGTTGTGCTTACTGACCTCAAACTGATTTTATGTGGTTATTGTGACTGAGTTGAATAAAGTTTGACTTATCTGACTGTTTTGTTTCGCTTAATGCGCCTTATGTATGAAAACAGACCTGTTCATTGATATTGCGCCTTATAGTCTGAAAAATACAGTAGTATGTTTTTGTAGCAAATGCCATATTAGTAACCTAAAACTAAAATATTGATACTAACTACACTTGAGTACTGAAAAATGAGTTTGAGGCAGCAGAGCTGTTGCTTATTACTGTTAAAATCATAATCAGATGCTGCTCATTCTTTTGCTCTTCTTGTTTCGTTTTATTTTTTAAGCTGGCAAATTCAGCTAAAAAGGTAAAGTCGGTGTATTGATGTGCTGCCGTGCACTTTCTTTGTGTTCTGTGCTTGTGTCGTCCTCGGTTACATGTGTAGCCGAGCCTTCATTAACAGAAATGTGACTTTGTGATGATCAGCTGTTTTAAGGTCTTGTCTGCTGTGGATTTGCTCCTCAGGGAAAAGGCCAGGGACGACGGCTAAGCTATCACACACCGTCACCTCCAGTCAGTCCTCGGCTGCCGTCTGTGGCTGACGTTGTGAGAGAAGAGAGCATGGCTGAAGAGGGAGCAGAGTCGCTCGACATCCCTGAACATCAGCAGGCAGCCATGCAGCAGGAAGAGAAAGTGTTGACGGAGCAAATAGAAAACTTACAGAAAGAGAAGTACGTTCGTCTGTTATTGGCTCAACTAATAGAAAGTAACGTCAGACGTGGAAAAATCCCATCTGATTGTGTTGATGTTGATGATGTTCTTGACAGAGAGGAGTTGACGGTGGAGATGCTGACTCTGGAGCCCCGAGCATCAGATGATGAGACCTTGGAGTCGGAGGCCTCTATTGGTACAGCGGACAGCTCTGAAAACCTCAACGTGGACTCTGAGGAAACCACTTCAGACTTCTCTGGTAACAGTTTAAAACTTATTGTAGCAGTTCAAAATATCCTGATGCATGTTTACTAATCCAGGTAGGAAAATCTAACCAAGTTAAGTCAGGTCTTCTGGACGGATTAAAAAAAAAAAAAACTGTAGAAACGTTTCGTCTTTTAGCCAAAAGACTTCTTCAGTCGAGGAGCTGCAACAGACAGTCTTATAAATAGCACCTTCTCATAGTGATCAACCAGTTTGTTGGAGACAGCCAAAACTAGCTGTTCACATGATGGAGGACCATCATCCTAGCAATTGATTGTTAGTGCTCTGATGGCTGTTTACTGTTCACAGAGGGCTGAGTGATACTAGAAATCACAGCATTGTAAGAGGGGGACAGTTGAACACAGAGGCTCCGCCCCCTGTTTAATGATGGACGGTTTCTCTTCACAAAGATGGCCTCCTTTACTCCTCTCTCAAACCAATGTTCCTTTCTATCAAGGATGTGAACATCTTCTGAAAGAGTCACTGCAAGTACTGGTCTGTGTGGGTGGGTTTGCGGTACACCTCACTTTACAAATGTCCTCCATAAGAATGGAGGAATTATCACATCCTTTATTCATTCAAACTTTATTTAAACAGGTTAGTCCCATTGAGCCATGAGGACTCATTTACAAGAGAGACCTGGAAATGTCATCATGTGAACAGCTAGTTTTGGCCGTCTCCAACAAACTAGTTGATCCACTGTGAGAAGGTGTTGCTTATAAGACTGAGTTTGTTGCAGCTCCTCAGACTGAAGAAGTCTTTTAGATAAAAGATGAAACTTTTCAACTTTTTTTTTACTCCATCCAGAGGACCTGACTTTGTTAATCTTAGCAGGTTTTTGCTGTGTAATTGAGTGAATGTCTCTATGAAAGACCAAACTTGACATAACTTTGCTCTTGTTATAGAGAGGAATCCCGTGGTGACCTCCCCATGGCCTCGCAGAAACGATGGGCAGAGCCACCGTCGACACGCTCACCACCAGCAGCCTGACTGCCTGGACTCTGTAGACTCTTGCTCCACCGTTTCCTCCTACTCCTCCTCATCACACTTCCAACAATCATTTTCTTCCTCCTCCGCCGCCTCCCGGCGGTTTCGGTTCCACTCCAAGACTCTGAGCCAGCCTCAGGCCCAGAATATATCTCAGTCGGCCCGCTTCGACGCCAGCCCCACAGAGCAGGAGGGCACTTATGATGAAAGGCCCCAGTTTACAAGCCGCGGCACGTACAATCCAGAGAAGGGCAAACAGAAACTTAGAGGAGCGAGACATTCAGCGGTCAAGCACACGAGAGAGGGGGAGGGCCCTGCCGGGGACCCTCCTGACATACCACAGCACCTGGTACTGTACGGTAATAACGAATTCATGGTATGAAGGACATCGCGACAACAAAACTTTCCCAGTTTGGCTCCAGGCAAACATTCATTCTCAACAGGAGGCAGCATTAAAGCAAATGATGTCCACTCTTTGAATCAGTCATGCTTAGCCCTTCCTGGTCGACTCCTGCAGAAGCACCGTGCACAGTGCTCAGTGGGTCAGGAAAGGGCTCCTCTGTTGCCACCCATGCTTTCAGTGCCTTGGCAGCTCCTTCGAGGAGACGCACTGAGCAACAGGACGGAGAACAAGGACCTTTACAGTATAGAGAAGAGCCCTCAGCATCAGGGAACGTTACAGAGTGGGAACACTGGTCTGAACGAGAAACCAGACATCATCAGGTGTCACATGTTCCAGTGGACTTCAAGCCCACTGGTATTGTCTTCACTGCTTTTTGAGTTTACTGTTAATAACAATCAGTGTAAGCAGTGGATGTTCTGTTATTACAATTTGATTTTTCTGTATTTAATAAATTTTATTATCACAGAAATGCTATATAATAATATACAAGTATAAATACTGTACAAAGCTGGAACGCCAGCCTCAGCTGGGTAGTTGAAATTAAATATTTATCTTTTTTTTTTCTGATTATCCTAGATTAGGGTGTTCAGATTTGGGCAGTGAATGCTACATTTGTGTGTGTGTGCGTGCATGCATGCGTGCGTGCGTGTGTGTGTGTGTGTGTACGTGTGCGTGTGTGTGGCTGTATGAGTGTGAAAGATAAAACCACTTCGTGTTGTTTCTGCTGCTTTTTCCCTGTTTGAGGGGAACGCCACTATCAAAGGGACCAAGTCTGTTGGTGTGTATTCCAACCAAGGACATCCCATCTCTTTAAGAACGTCAGACGTGTTCAAGATGTCTGCCCTCTTCTGAGTGACAGCCATCCAGCGGTCGTAATATACAATGCAGTTCACTCTGTTGTCAAAGTCATTGTTACCAACTCCCTCCTGTCTCTGAAGTGTTTGCTCGATAGCAACCAAGAAACGGCATCAAATCATTTTGTCTTCTGTCGTTATTTATGACTCGGCTCTGAACGTTGGATTACAAAAAACAAACGCATCTTTTACAGAGGAATCGTGCGTTTACAGGAACAACACGGCTCCAGTGCAAGCAGCTCCCTTTCTTTTAGTTGAACACTGATGTGGTGAAATAAGTCATGCAAAAATTATTAAATCAATAAATTTTATTGTTCGTAACATTTCGTGGAATGGAGACTTGTCTGTGACATCTGGCTCATGAATACAACATAAAACAATAAAAAAACGCAATAAGAACTTTCAGTACCATTGCAGAAACGTTAAAAACACTCAAAAATTCAATGTACATTAAAAACAATATGGTTTTGTTACGAGAAGCTATGTTTAAAGTGGACCCTGCTCAGGCCGGTCACGGCAGAGGGAACACGTGACTTTTTGTACCCGTTCTGGGTACAGAGGGATAGTCTCCTGCCAGATGGCAGCAACTTGAATAATGTTCACCGTTCATGAGTTGGGTCATTATAAATGACCAAAACTCAATTATACAGGTTGGATTTGTTGACTGATTTTATATTGGCTTGTTTGACCTCCCTGAACAACTTGTCCCCGCCTCTGGCTAGGAGGTTCTCAAATCATGGGACTGTATTGAAGGATCTGTCAACCAGTGAGCTGTGCACCAATCACAGTGTGTTTGCTTGCATTTGTAGTGAGTCACGTGGGTACGTGTCACTAGTTGTAGTATGACAATATATCCCCGTTTATATGCATACTATATTCACGAGTTCTTCATTTTTCTGACTGTGTAATGCCGTGCATTGAATTTAACAGAAATGCGAACGAGAGACGTTATTACCTTTGACCCATCAAATGAATGGAGTCATTTATTTTCAGAATCAAAGTTTAACATCAAACATTTACATTAATTTGGCAAAATATGAAAATAATAACAGACAGTTTCACAAATAATGAACTTCAAATCACTCGGCGGTGATTTGAGGACTTTGCTTCAGATATTTCTAAAATATCTGTACTGGTTTTGTGAGAGAGAGAAGAGTTTAAGATGAACTGGAGATTATCTTACAGAGAACTATGTGAGGGAATTTATATCTGTTGACCAGAACGTGCACGCTTCATCAGATTTCAGCTCGCTGCCGGTACACTTTAGTCGAAGAAGAGACCGTTACCTTGTTGATGATAGATCAGCTCGATAGAGAGTCCTCCAGACCTTTCAGCGTCTCCGTTGAGAGCTGCTGAAATCCTTAGATAGTCGTGCGTGGGTTGTTCAAACAGAAGTTATAATTCCAACGTCTCTGACTCTCCTGAATTCTCGAATTCTCTTCCATTCACTTCACCATTCTCCATGAATTCTAACCAATTCTCTTCAGAACTCCTTGAGCACTGCTTCAGAACTGCTTCCGAACTACATGAGAACCGCTCCAGCACTCTTCCAACTCTCAGAACTCATTGAGAACTAACTGCACTCTGCAGAACCGGGAAGTTGTCCCATTTTAAATGAGTTTACTTCCGAGTTTACTTCAGAGCTTTCTGATTCGTGGATGGACCAGAAAGAGGAGTGGTTTTGACGTAAGGTGTTTATCAAAAGTCGAGGTCAGAGAATGAAATTTGTTTAACAACTGACAGAGAGATTATTGCAAAAAGCAGACTTCGTGGAGTCTCTATTCTGATTATCTTCTCAAATAGTTAAACATGACATTTCTTCTTCAGTAAACATTTAGTTGACCGAAGCTTCAACTTTCACATACTTACGACTTGGCTCATTTCAGACAGAAAATCAAGAAATGCATATTAACCTGATTTCTCCTTTGAATGAGGAATAAAAATCATTACTTACTGTTTATGTAAAATAAAAATGAGTAGTTCTTTTCAACCTGTAAGCATTGAGTGAAACTAACACAATTTGATTATCAAACATTTGTAAAACAGTAATGATTATAAAGGATTGTCTTTTCTGCTTGATTAATTCAAGAAAGAAAGTCATCAGATGGCTCAGACTTATTCAGATCAATGAAAATAACAGTCTCTGTCCATCTGGTAGATTTGAGGTCATCAGGGTCAGATGAGGGTCAGATCATCAGGTCATCTGGTTCACTACACATTAAATAATCTGTCATCAAAGTTCATGCTCAATAACCCAGGTAAAAATCCAACAATGTTCAGTCAGGTCATCTGGACAGTGTTTTTTCTTGAGACGTTTCGCCCTCCATCCAAAGGGCTTCATCAGTCTGAGAAGTCACAAACTGTTTTCCCCACTAAGCAGTACACTCCTACAGTGGACCAACCAGTTTGCTGGTGATGAGATGGTTTCTAAAGAATCTGTCATTACTGCTGATTGGTTCATAGTTCATTAATAAGAGTTAAATACAGTAACATCAGTCATGGTATAAGCAGGGGTGTCAAACTCACTTACAAAAAGGAGCCAAAAGTAAAAACTTGGTTCAAACTAAGGACTAATTTTAGAAACTGCATTAACTCGAGTTAGAGCCCCGGTGTCTGTTCTTGGTCCCAGGTTCTTCAACGAGAGTTTGGTCTCATTTGACCTTCACTATTGTGCTTTCCACATAATCAAAGATTGCTGAAAAAAAATTGTGATAAAATTATTTTACATTTAAGATCAGAGTCGGTTTCTTAATTTGTACACAGGGTCCCAGTTACATCCAACAATAAAATGTAAAAGAAAAACAGTAACTGGTCTGGGAAGCTCAGTCCTCACCTCCTTCTACAGGTGTGCAGTGGAGAGCATCCTGTGCTCCAGCATCAACGTGTGGCATGGAGGCTGCACAGCTGCAGAAAGAAAAGCTTTGCAGAGAGTGGTGAAGGCTGCACAGAAGTCTGTTGGAGTCGGTCTCCCCACCATCAGACATCTACACCTCCAGATGCAGGAAGAGGGCCACCTGCATCATGAAGGACCCCACTCATCCAGTACACACACTTTTTGCCCCGCTCCCCTCAGGAAGGAGGTTGAGGAGCATTAAGTGTAGAACCACTAGACTGAGGAACAGCTTCTACCCTGAGGCTGTTAGCCTCATGAGTCTCTAATCGGGATAATCACTGTGAAAAATCACAACATGTTGCTGCTGATCTATTTCATGTTGCTGTGTTCATGTATGCTCATCTGCTCACACAGACTCATGTTCGTGCTGCTGTTTGACGTATTGTTTTTGCACCATTAGTGCTTAGCGTATTTTTAGTTACATTTTTTCTTAGTTCATATCTTGGATATTGTTACTGTTTTTCTTTTACATTTTATACTTCTGTTGGATGTAACTGGGACCCTGTGTACACAATTTCGTTCCACCACATGTACCACATATGGTGTGAATGACAAATAAAGAAACTCTGACTCTATGTAAATTAAAAGAAAGGTGTTTTAAAAAATCCTCTAAAAAATTATTTACTTGTTATTCAGGCATTTAAAATCTAAATAATTTTGGGAATCCTAAACGGCATAAAGACATTAAAGCTTTAATCTAATTTTATGTTAGACGGCGAGACAAAAATGGTTTAGTGTGTTTTTCTTTTTTTAATCTTTACAGTGTATGTAAACATCTGGTTTGATCTGCTGGTACTTAAAATCATGCTTTTTTCCAGTTCACTCATATTGCAATGACAACATTGCAACATGTTTTGCAGCTTTACACAATATTGCTTTGTTATATAACTTAAATAGAAATTTAGTTAACTTAAAAAAATATATATATTTGTGTTATAGTAAGACTTATTTGATGTATGCACCTTTTTGTCAAATATACTTAAAGGTACTTTTTTCAAAGTATAAAATTAAATATAAAGTATCCTGAACTATATCAAATAGTGCAGGCAGAAAGAGTTTAGTCGTTTTCCAGCTATATTGGTATGAAATTCTGAAATGTACTCATTGTAAACAAAACACTTTTATTCTCATACTTTACTCAACAAACCTGAGTTTGAATAAGTAAACAATAATTCAAAACTGTTGTTCTTCATCCCAAATGGTTCTTCCATGGATGTAGCTATTTGTGACCTATTTTCAGTCACTTCAGCTGTTTTAGTAGAAAAACAAGCACCTGGTGGTCTGCAGCTCTTCATATATTCTGCCATCAGACTCCTAATTAAAGGACACACTAACCATCGACATGGGGGGAAAACACTGTGCAGGTTATTATAACTTTTTTAACAGGTCAACAAAGTCCATGCTCAATAATCCAGGTATACAATCCAACATTTTTCAGTCAGATCATCTGGAGTGATGAAGCCTTCTGGACCGAAGGCGAAACGTTTCAGCACAAAAAAAAAAAAAAGAAACTGTCCAGATGACCTGACTGAAAAATGTTGGATTTTATACCTGGATTATTGAGCATGGACTTTGTTGTTTTCAACCAGTTTGACAAGACTGTCAAAATAGGGCCGGCAATGGAGGAGGGGGCGTACCAAAGAGACCATCTCATCACAAGCAGAACTGGTTTGTTCCACTTTTGGAGTAAGCTGTTGGAGGAAGAATCAGTTTTGTTGTGCGTTTCCTTGACTGATGAAGCTTTCTGGATCGAAGGCGAAACGTTTAAGCACAAAAAAAAGAAACTGTCCAGATGACCTGACTGAAAAAATGTTGGATTTTTTTTAACTCTTTATGACTTTCCAATGAGTAGCTTTAATTTATCATCTTGGGTGGTGTCAAATAAACTTTTTATCTGAAAACATAGCTCAGTCAAAAACGTACATTGTTAAAAAGTATATATAAAAAACTTAAAAATAAAGGCGGATTTTTTCTAACCGGTATTATTTAATTTTATAAAATTCCCAGGAGCACCTGAAGGCACCAGGTGTCCTCGATGTGCAGGTGAGAAAAGGAGCTCGTTTGCGCGTGTTGCCTTCTTCGCGGACCACCTAAAGTCCAGGACAAACACGAGACGGCAGACTGTCACGAGAACCGCTCACATTAGAGCCAATTCACGTTATTTGTCCAACTAAAAGTGGGCTAACCGAGTGGAAACGACTCGGGGCAACCTCTGGTGACGCTCCTTACTCCTGACACGGCGCATGCGCAGAGGCCGAGTGTCGCGCAGCAGCAGCATCGGAAGGATCCGCCGTCTGGCAGAGACGGGAGCTCTCGTGTTTATTTCACGTAAAGAAAACTTTCTCCCACCATGTCGGGATTCGACAGCAACCCGTTCGCAGACCCAGTGGACGTGAACCCGTTCCAGGTTAGTGAGTGTGTGTCCGTGAGTCCACTGTTCAGGTGTCAAGTGAAGACCGAAAGGGATACGCTGCAACAAGAAACCTGTTCGGTTGGTTGGCCGCTGGGTTCGGCCTCTGTATTTCCTGTTCTACGATCTTTGTCACGTATAGAAGATATAACACGTATTAAGTCACAACATGTATGCGACTTTATAATGGAAAAACAAAACAAAACAAAACGTTTTTTTCCCCCACCAATTTAAACTCACCTGGGCAGGTGAGCAGAACCCAACAGGTGCTTTCAGCTAGTCAGCCATCATCTCTTCCTCATACCATCCATTATGAGGTTTTTAATCATCTGTTCTCAACTGTCTGTCCAAGCTGGACTTCGTGTAGTTCTCTTTGTTTTGTTGACATGTTTGTAGTCGGGCTTGTGTGGAGTAATTTCACTTGATGCGAATTTAAATCCAGCTTCTGTTCATGTAGGATTCGTCTTCTCCTCTTTGGGTTCATGTCTTCACCTCTGTGTTTTTTGGAATCCTTTCAGGATGCCTCGGTCACACAAGCCACCAGCAGGGTCGCTGAAAGCCTTGCAGGGTACAACCCATTCTCTGCCACTGAAATGGTGACGTACTTATATTTTTACTGCACTTATTGAAATAATACTTTACTTGCCCTTCCCACCACTGAGAGCTTATGTACCATACTTTGTGCTGTATAAGTCGCACCTTTTTTTGCATAAATTAGCATGCCCTGCGACTAGGCCTGTCTCGATAAACAATAAATCAATTAATCGCATGATCAATGAAAATGATCGACCTCATTTTCATTTATCGGCTTTATCGTTTCTTCGTGTCTCTCTTTCTACTGAAGACACTGGATGATAAAAGGCTCAACTCCGGTGCTCTTCACTGACCCCTCCTTTTCTCGTTAAAATCTGTTTTAACGATCCAAAATTGTGTTTTGGGATCGTTAAAAGCAGCGAAGCTAAGCTACGAGCTAAGCTAACAGGCCGACCTCGGGGAAAAAACCTCTGTCTTGTTGAAGTTCCAAAATTCAGTCGAAACCCGTGCCTTTGTGTAAAAAGTTGTTTTTCTCTGCAAAAAGAAGCTGAGAACTTGTTTACTGATTTTTTTTATTTTTATTAAAAGCTTTGTGTGAAAAATGTTATGCTATCGAGCTCAAACCACATCGAGCGTCCGCCATTTTGAGAACCGAAAAAAGGAAAGAGAGACAGCCCGTGTCAAGTCAAGAAGCCTCCCTACCACTTTTCTTAAAGGGACACATTGCTCGCTCCCTCACTATCCATCCTTCGGGTAATACAGTCTTATCCAACATTTTTCAGTCAGGTCATCTGGAGAGTTTCTTTTTTTTTGTTTGTGCTCTGGAGAGTTTCTTTTTTTTTGTTTGTGCTTCAGCACAAACAAAAAAAAAGAAACTCTCCAGATGACCTGACTGAAAAATGTTGGATTGTATACCTGGTGAGCATTATTGAGCATGGACTTTGTTGTTTTAAAACAGTCTTATACTGCCATCTGGTGGTCAAAAAAGATACTACACTCAAAACAAATTAACCAACATTTCTTTTTAAATTTGACAATCAGTACTAATTATTGTCAAATTTCAAACAATATTATCGTTTATCACAATAATTTTTGAGACGATCACCCAGCAAAATTTGTTATCTTGACGGACCTACCTGTGACTTTAGCGAAGCAACTTGTTTTTCCCCGCATATTTATAACCCAATTTTTGTCTGAGATCTGACGATTTCATTCATTCTGACATGGAAAATATTGAATACTACCATTTTCAGCCACTAGGGGGACTAATGTAGCAAGCCAACTGGCTATTAATGAGACTCTTGGCTTGCCATACAGAGCCACCTTCGTCTCGCTCTGGAACTCCTGGAGCAAACGTCAAATCAGCTTCATTTTGCTGCGCCGCCCAGGAGAAATGCAGCTGATTTGAACATTAAGGTGCATTTATTAAGGAAAAGTTCAACTGAGACACACCTTTACTATAATGTCGAGCAAACAAACAATCGTTTTAGATGGTTATCTTGTTAAAGTTTAAAGAAATTCACAGTAAGTCCTCCCTCTGTGTGCTCCTGCAGCCATGCATCGATTTTTCAAATGCAGCTGATTTGACCATTAAGGTGCATTTATTAAGGAAAAGTTAGACTGAGACACACTTTTTGCTATAATTTCGAACAAACAAATAATTGTTTTTAAGTGTTAATCTTGTTCAACTCTTGTTAAAGTCCTCCCGTGCACACACTCGCAGCCGCCATTTGGCAGCCAATCGATTTTTGGCACAACACCAGCCCACATTTTCGGGTGGTCAGTGGTGACGCATAACAAACGCAACGCGTCAGAGGTGATGCATAATAGATGCGACTTATATGGTGAAGCGACATATTTATGTTTTTTTTCCACTTTATTAGACACATTTGGACTGATGCGACTTATACGGCGGTGTGATGTGTACGGCGGCAAGTGCGGTAGTTATTTTTAAAGATGGTCTGCTTTTATCCTTTTTACAGGGAGACTATTCTGGAACGACCATCCCAGTCTCTGCCACCTCCTCCCAACCCGCCGTACTCCAGACCTCTGTGGAGCAAACTCCAAAAGTAAGTACAAAAGTCATCAAAGAAAAGGGAATAGGTAAAAATTATAATTTTTAGAATAATGTCTTAAAACGAACAGCGACACACAGACTTTGAGAATCATGGTGCATGAGGTGCATGCTGGGCTGGATTTTAGCAGGGGCTTACAGGGGCTGCAGCCCGGGGCCCCGGCATTTTGGGGGCCCCGAAGGATGTTTTATGTTTTTGTGAATGGACAGTGTCAGAATTTAATCAATGACTATGATGATTTTGACAGCACCGATGAAAAATGTTCCAATTTGTTCTGGCAAACGTCCATCTTGAATGCTTGCTTGTTATTGGTCCACTTTTGACGCATCTTACGCATTGGGGAGGAGCGTCAGGGAATATATTTTACAATGGCGGACAACAAAAAATATGACAGCGGAGCGCAGAAAAGAAGGAAGAGAAAAGAAAAAGAGCATTGCGACAAAGAGGCGACAAACAAAATGCCTAAACTGACAGGCTGACTGAAAGAACTTTGGGGCTGTAAAATAATTTGAAAACAAACTTGGTCTTTTTTAAAGTTCATCTGCTAAATTAAAGTAAAAATTTAAATGATTGTAGATACAAAACAAAGATTTTGCATGTCTGCATTATGAGACAGGCTCAAAGTTTCTAACTTTTCAGGGTTGAGTATTTTCTTATTTGGGCTACATGGTTTGCGTTTGAGTAAATGTCGGTTGTGTTTGTGGTTCTAGTTCCTCCAAATAAGATGAATGCAGAAGTGTCATTAATAAATGGAAATCTGTATTTTGTTCTTCATATTTTTCAAGATGTTCTCTGTACAAACCTTGGTCTAGAAGATGAAAATTGTTCATTTGCACCGACCTCTGCTTTTATTGAGAACAGGGGGCTGTAAAAAATCATAGAATATGAAAAAAAACTAGAATATGATGCAAGCATCATATTCTAGTTTCAACCCCAACATGTGGTTTAGTCTTTCTAGAAAAGAGTTCAGAGTTGTTTGTAGTTTGTGACAACTGGCTTATTAAAGTTGTAAGTTGTGCAAACTTACTGTTCTGTCATTTTCTGCTCATCCTCTAAAACAAAACAAACACATAAAAAAAAAAATGTATGTATGTATGTATATATATATATATATATATATATATATATATATATATATAGGGCCCCCATATATTGACTCCAGCCCAGGGGCCCCCCATCCTCCTAAATCCGGCCCTGGGTGCATGGACAACAATTTAGCTTTATTACACAAATAATAAAGGACGTAAAAGTCCATTTACAGTGCCTTGTGAAAGTATTTGGCCCCCTTGAACTTTTCAACCTTTTGCCACATTTCAGGCTTCAAACATAAAGATATAAAATTTTAATTTCTTGTGAAGAATCAACAACAAGTGGGACACAATCGTGAAGTGGAATGAAATTTATTGGATGTGTCAAACTTTTTTAACAAATAAAAAACTGAAAAGTGGAGCGTGCAATATTATTGGTCCACTTTACTTTCAGAGCAGCAAACTCACTCCAGAAGTTCAGTGAGGATCTATGAATGATCCAATGTTGTCCCAAATGACTGATGATGATAAATAGAATCCACCTGTGTGTAATCAAGTCTCCGTATAAATGCACCTGCTCTGTGATAGTCTCAGGGTTCTGTTCAAAGCGCAGAGAGCATCATGAAGACCAAGGAACACACCAGACAGGTCCAAGATACTGTTGTGGAGAAGTTTAAAGCTGGATTTGGATACAAAAAGATTTCCCAATCTTTAAACATCCCAAGGAGCACTGTGGAAGCAATCATATTGAAATGGAAGGAGTATCAGACCACTGCAAATCTACCAAGACCCGGCCGTCCCTCTAAACTTTCATCTGGAACAAGGAGAAGACTGATCAGAGATGCAGCCAAGAGGCCCGTGATCACTCTGGATGAACTGCAGAGATCTGCAGCTGAGGTGGGAGAGTCTGTCCATAGGACAACAATCAGTTGTACACTGCACAAATCTGGCCTTTATGGAAGTGCGGCAAGAAGAAAGCCATTTCTCAAAGATATCCATAAAAAGAGTTGTTTAAAGTTTGACACAAGCACCTGAGAGACACCAAACATGTGGAAGAAGGTGCTCTGGTCAGATGAAACCAAAATCTGTTTGTCTACAATGCAAAACGATATGTTTGGTGTAAAAGCAACACAGCTCATCACCCTGAACACACCATCCCCACTGTCAAACATGGTGGTGGCAGCATCATGGTTTGGGCCTGCTTTTCGTCAGCAGGGACAGGGAAGATGGTCAGAATTGATGGGAAGATGGATGGGGCCAAATACAGGACCATTCTGGAAGAAAACCTGTTTGAGTCTGCAAGAGATCTGAGACTGGGACGGAGATTTATCTTCCAACAAGACAATGATCCAAAACATAAAGACACATCTACAATGGAATGGTTCACAAATAAACGTATCCAGGTGTTGGAATGGCCAAGTCAAAGTCCAGACCTGAATCCAATCGAGAATCTGTGGAAAGAGCTGAAGACTGCTGTTCACAAACGCTCTCCATCCAACCTCACTGAGCTCGAGCTGTTTTATAGGAAGAATGGGCAAGAATTTCAGTGGCTCCATGTTCAAAACTGATAGAGACAAACCCCAAGAGACTTGCAGCTGGAACTGCAGCAAAAGGCGGAGCTACAAAGTATTAACGCAAGGGGGCCGAATAATATTGCACGCCCCACTTTTCAGTTTTTTATTTGTTAAAAAAGTTTGACACATCCAATAAATTTCATTCCACTTCACGATTGTGTCCCACTTGTTGTTGATTCTTCACAAAAAATTAAAATGTTATATCTTTATGTTTGAAGCCTGAAATGTGGCAAAAGGTTGAAAAGTTCAAGGGGGCGAATACTTTCACAAGACACTGTAAATGATCTTCAGCATGGTAAACTTTAGTTTTGAGCAACAGAAACTGCATAAACCAGGAGCTGAAAACCACAAAGCAACATAAGAACAACACAGTTACTGTGTTAGTTTTGTAAACACGATTGTTAAATGTTGTTTTTCAGATTAGTCTAAATTGAAGCCCACACTGTCCAAAAATAAACCTGAGACATTAAATACATTCTTTCGTAGCTTTCAGGCTCGATTACAGCAACGTGCTTCTTTTTGGAATCATCAGACCTCCATTGTACGATTACAACTGGTCCATAATGCTGCAGCCTATTTTTTAACTGGTACAGGCACAATTGAGCACATTTCTGTTTTTAGCCTCCCTTCACTGGCTCCCGGTTCACTTTTGAATTCATTTTAAAATCCTTCTGTATGTTTTCAAATCTCTGAACAGTACTGCCCCATCCTATCTCACTGATCTGCTGCAGCCATATGTCCCACAGCGCTCTCTGAGGTCAGCAGACCAGATGCTTCTATTGGTTCCAGGCACTCATTTTTAGCTCAGAGGTGACAGGACCTTCTTTGCTGCAGGTTCAAAACTGTGGCATGACACCACTACATGCCAGGCAGCAGGCTCCTCGCTTACTGGTTTTAATCTCATTTAAAAACTCACTTTTATTCCCTGCCTTTTGATCCAGTGCGAGTTGATTTTAACTTTGTGTTTTCATTGTTTTCCTTTAGTTTATTATGTTTACCTCTGTATTTTTTAATGTATTGCATCCTGTGTCCTTGGCTATTTGTTTTGTTGTACAGCACTTTGGTTGGCCTTCATGCTGTTTTTAAGTGCTTGATAAATAAAGTGGTATGGTATAGGGCAGCACAGTGGCGCAACTGGTAGAGCTGCTGCCTCTCAGCGAGAAGGTTGCCGATTCAAATCCCGGTCCGGGGGCCTTTCTGGGTGGAGTTTGCATGTTCTCTCCGTGCATGCGTATGTTTTCTCCGGGTACTCCGGTTTCTTCCCACAGACCAAAAACATGCATGTTAGACTGATTGGTGACTCTAAATTGGTGTGAGTGAGAGAGTGAATAGTAGTTTTCTCTGTGTGTCCCTGTGATGGACTGGAGACCTGTCCAGGGTGCCCCTCGCACAGTGATTGCTGGACATGGGCACTGGAGATAATGGATGGATGGATGGATGGATGGATGGATGGATGGATGGATGGATGGTATGATACACAATTAATGAGCTAAAACACGTCGCAGAGTTGTGGCTTTTGAATGGAACCTGGATCATGTCAGGTTTTTTAAGATATCTGGGGAAAAGTAGCTTGTTCACCTAAAACTGTTGTTAAACTGTTCTTTCAGTTGATTTAATTATTAACATGCCTTGTCCAAAAGTTTCATTGTAAATTTAAAGATTTACCTTTTAAGATTCCCTTCAGTGAGTTCTCTACATCTGAGTAATAATAAAACTAACACAACATGGAGAAATGGCTTGTTACAAATATAGTTTTCTGCCACAAGTGAAATGAATAAGGGATGTAAACACAGCGTGTCAAATGCATTTGAATGAACCCATCACGAGTGTGAGCGTTGGTATTAAAAATGTTTGTGCAGTTTGCTGGAACTGTTTCAGAGCTTTAACTTTTGTAACAACTTCATTCCAAGTAGGAAGACCGTCAGCAATAACCTTAAAGAAGCAGTTGTTGCTTTGAGTTAATTAGAAAAAAACTTCAAGGTATTTTCCAAAATGGTGTGTTGATAATTTTTCATCTAAAATATTATTTTCAAGAGTAAAACACTTCAGATGGTTAGTTGCCTATCTGTCCAAGTGTAGGAGTCCCAACGATTTGACCATTTCTGCTGTGCTCACTGGAATAAAAACAAATCTCAGCTTCACTGCAAACTAATGGGGCTTCAGTTATCAGAGTAAATGTTAAATTATACCATACCACTTTATTTATAAAGCACTTAAAACAGCGACAAGGCCAACCAAAGTGCTGTACAGACAGAACAACAGGTAACACACAAAGCAAAATACAAAATGAAGTAAATCAGAAAAATAGACATAAAAACGATGCAGATAATGACGACAAACCAGTGTGGAGCATACAGGATCAAAACACAGATCATCTGGTGTTAAAAGCCACCGCATAGTGGGTTTTTAAACGGGACTTGAAAACCGAGAGGGAGGGGGCCAGTCTGACAAGCAGAGGTAACTCATTCCAAAGTCTTGGTCCTGCTACAGAGAAGGCCCTGTCACCTCTGCGCTTAAGGGTGCATTCACACCAGCCCTGTTTAGTCCGCTTTAATCGAACTCTAGCTCGTTTTCCTTGAAAGTCCGGTTCGTTTAGGGAGGTGTGAACGCACCATCGAACTCTGTCACGGAACAAAAAGGCGAACTCTGGCCCGGGCTAAAACCAAGGTCTCGGTCCGGTAGAGGCGAACTCCAGCGCGGTTCCAGTGCAGTGTGAATGTAAACAGACCGGACCCCGCTCCGCAGTGTAAACAAACACGCATTGCTCTTACCTTATATGGAGCCGTCAGCTGCCTTGTGTTGCCAGTGATTTGTAGACATGGACAATTAGACAAATTATAAAGCATTTCCTTAATTCAAGAACAACTAACAAGTTGGCAGGAAACGACTTCCCTGTAAGACGAACATGGGGCATTGGTGGTAATGCTCAGCCACACAATTGTGCAAACTAAAGAAATGACATGTACTCAAATACTTTGTAGCAAGTGTGAAGCACGGTGGTAGAGGGCTGGTGATCTGGACACCATCCAGTTATTGAGTAAACTCATTTGTGTACCTAACTAGAGATATTGCATTTCCTGCAAAAATGCAGTGTGAATGCTTATTGCAGAAAAACTTGCTGAAACACTGCTGAAATTAGCTAAAAGAAAAAACAGACTGAAATGTAGCTGAAATGAAAGAACAAGCCTAAATTAGCAGCAGAGAGAACACACGTTTGCTGAATTAAATTAGCAGAAATGAGCACAAAAATTAGGAAATGCAGCTAAAAAAAAGCTGAAATTAGCAACAACAAAACTGTTGAAAAGGCTAAAAGAAGCTTAACCTACAAGAAGGAAGAGCTGAAACAAACAAACAAAAAAAGTGGAATTAGCTGAAAAATCTAAAATTCACACAAAACAAATAGCTGAAATAGTATATAGAGCTGAAATGAGCAGACAAAGGCTGAAAGTAGCAGAAATTACCAAGAAAAACTTAGAATTTATCTAACACTAACAGCTGAACTTAGCTAAATATTTTCTGAAAATGTAGCAGAAAAGGTAGAATAAGCTTCAATTACCAGTAGAAAGCAGAAAGAACACATTTGCTAAAAGAAGCAGAAATTAGCAAAAAAAAAAAAAAGTAGAAAATATCTTTAAAAAAAGGCTGAAATGAACACAAAAAACAGCTGAAAAGTAGCTAAATAAAGCAGAAAGAAGCTGAAATTACAAGAAGTAGAGTGAGCACACTTTGCTGAATTATGATGAAAAAAGTTGAAATGAGTGCAAAAAAATGTGGAATTGGCTGAAAATGCCTAAATTAGTAAAACAATAGCTGAAATAGTAGAAAAAGCTGAAACTTGCAGAAATAAGCTGAAAGGAGCCGAAAGAAGTTAGAAGAAGCACAAAAATGTTGTAGTTAGCAGAAAGAATCCAAAAGGAGCACAAAACAGCTGGAAAAAACAGCTAAAATTTGCTGAAAATAGCTGAAAAAGGTTAAATTTGCACAAGGAAGCTGAAAGAAGCTGAAGCAGAACAAAATGTGAAAGGAGCAGTAAAAGGTTGTAAACGGATCTAAATATTTGAAGGATGTAAAATTTTCTGAAGAAAAAAATGGCAGAAAAGGCTAAATATTTCAAAAAGCTAAAGTTTCACCAAAACCAAAAGTCATAGCAAGATTGTTCTGAAAGAGCCAAACGTTTTGATTCGTGTTTTGTTGAAATAGATTGAAAACTGCGGGATGAGAATCACGCCAAAAAACGTACAGAAGAAAAATGGATAACAATGAATGCTTCATAAACATTCACACTGTTGTTCTTGAGGTAAAGTTTTATTTGTACAAGCTTCGTCCTTTTAAATCAAAGCTGAGGTAGACTTAAATCAAACCAGTCACCATAGCTCTGACAAATGAGCAGTGCTGTGTTGTAGGAGGAGGAGGACAGAGGTGTCTGAGGCTGCAGCCCCGTGGGAGGCGCAGCCTTTTACTGTATTATCTAAAGTCATGCACAGTAAATGATAACTGTATGGGGTGGAGGCATTTTATATTTTACATTCTATTTTCCATTTGTCCCTCTTTCTGATACTGATACTGTGTTTTTAATCATATTTAATAAGGTTAATTGAGCAGGAGTTTCCCGTTTCTTTAGCTAAACAGTCCTGATTTTATTATAGATCTCTGATCCAACAGGTCTGTTTCATTCTTTAATGGATTTTTTTCCCCACTTGCTGAACTTTTTTTTTTAAGCTTAATTACATCTATTTTTTCATATTTTGGCGTCACATAGCTGCTCGAAAGCAAACCGCTGCAGGGAGTAGTTCTGAGCTCACTTTGTCCATCATTTTATCAGGCGGCTGCAGCAGCAGCTCAGGCCGACCTGGTCAAACAGCAGGAGGAGCTGGAGAGGAAAGCAGCGGAGCTGGATCGACGGGAGCAGGAGTTTCAGAACCGGACTGCAAGCGGTAACGCTGCCCCCGGAAGTAAGCGCCTTCCATTGTAACATGGGAAATAAGTTGTCCGTCTGTGTATGACCAATAAATCTAAACACGCAATCCATTAATTCGGTGTTGGCATTTGATTTTTAGCTAAAGAGAACAACTGGCCACCTCTTCCAAAGTTTTCTCCCATCAAGCCCTGCTTCTATCAGAACTTTGAGGAAATCCCTGAGGACTACCGCAGAACCTGCAAAAGAATGTACTACCTATGGATGTGTACGTAAAGCTTCACACACTTGTTTGTTTTGTGTGCAGACAAGTTGGTCTCCCCTTAAAACTGTTGCTTTTTCATAATTATATTTTTCCACCTTTGAATCCTCTCTAAAGTCCACAGCTCCACTCTGTTCCTCAACGTGCTGGCATGTCTGGCTTACTTCACGACAGACCAGAATAGAGGCGTCGACTTTGGCCTGTCCATCCTCTGGTTCATCCTCTTCACCCCCGTGGCCTTCGTGTGCTGGTACCGACCGGTGTACAAAGCCTTCAGGTAAGCTGTTTCACGGGCCAGCACTCATTTTTCTGATTTGGACCCAAACAGAACTGGATACAACTGTTTTCTACAAGTTTCTACAGCAAGTCTTCAGTTTCTGCAAGTGGTAGCTAAAGACTTGCTGCAGAGGTCCAGGCCTCCCTTGCCAAAGAGTTCTGTGATCTCAATGTAATTTACCTCATTAAATAAAGGTTCATGAATAAACCAGTTTAAAACTGTTGTAGTCCAAGAGAAATCTCCGTAATTCTGTTTGCTTCATGGATGTCTGCTCATTTTATTATATATTAAACATTTAGCACTGTATTTTCTGCTGTACACGTCGCACCGCCCTATAAGTCCCATCAGTCCAAATATGTCTAAGAAAGTGGAAAAATGCATAAATACGTCACATCCATCATGCGTCACCGCTGACAACCTGGAAATGTGGGCCGGTGTTGTGCCAAAAATCGATTAGCTGCCAAATGGCGGCCACGAGGGCGTGCACGGGAGGACTTTGACAAGAATTTAACAAGATTAACACTTAAAAACAATTATTTGTTTGCTTGACATTATAGTAAAGGTGTGTCTGTCTAACTTTGGCTTAATAAATGCACTTTGATGGTCAAATCAGCTGCATTTTCAAAAGCCAGTACGTGGACACAGGAACGCAGAGGATTCGCTGTCCATTTCTTCAGAATTTAACAAGATAAGCACCTAAAACAATTATTTGTTTGCTCGACATTATACCAAAGGTGTGTCTCAGTTGAACTTTTACTTACCAAATGAACTTCAATGGTCAAATTAGCTGCATTTCACTGGGGCGGTGCAGTGAAATGCAGTTGATTTGATGGTTGCTCCGGGCGAGGTGGACGAAGGTGGCAGGCCGATTGTGTCATTAATAGCCACTTTTACCTATTGCATGACACAACGACATGCTACTACTACTACTCAAGTACCTTGTAGCAGCTGAAAATGGTAGTGTTCAATATTTTCAGTCAGAATGAATGAAAACGGTCATCTCAGCCAAAAACTGGTTTATAAATATGGGAAAATCCATAAATACGTCGCTTCGGCCCATAAGTTGCAGAGCACACAATTAATGCAAAAACCGTGACTTATAGGCCAAAAAATACACCAAATGGATCCAAAACTGTTGGAGAAGCAGACGTATCTGGTCCTGATGTATTAGTGCAAGGCTATTCAGCTGGCAGCCCGAGGGCCAAATCAGGCCTAAAGGTGAACTCAGTTCGGCCACCAATGGGTTCATCTTTAAGTAAAACTAGATTTTAAACCATTAAACAAACTTACTTAATGACAATAACTGCTGGATGTCTGCCTCCTGAGTCTTGGCTTTCATTAACTGTGGCCCCCTGAGCAGTTTAGTTGAATAGCCCTGTGTTAGTGTGGTCTGTTTGGACAACCTGCAGAGCAGGTTAAAAGTTCAGTGGTGCAAAACTGAAATGCAATGTTTTGCTGGCACTTTTGGGGAGGTGGAGTGTAATGGTTAAGTCATGTTACTAAATTATCTGGTGTCTTATTTTTAATAAATAATCAAAATTGTGTTAATGACCCACTTAAAACTGTTAAACTGATTTGCAATTTAGTTGTGCTGTTTAATTATCCAACATTTTTCAGTCAGGTCATCTGGACAGTTTCTTTTCTTTGTGCTGAAACGTTTCGCCTTCAATCCGGAAGGCTTCATCAGTCAAGGAAACGCACAACACAAAACTGATTCTTCCTCCAACAGCTTACTCCTGGATTATTGAGCATGGACTTTGTTGTTTTCAACCAGTTTGACACGACTGTCAACAAGGAAGAGGGCCGGCAATGGAGGAGGGGCGTATCAAAGAGACCATCTTATCACAAGCAGAACTGGTTTGTTCCACTTTGGAGTAAGCTGTTGGAGGAAGAATCAGTTTTGTTGTGTGTTTCTTTGACTGATGAAGCCTTCTGGATCGATGGCGAAACGTTTCAGCACAAAGAAAAGAAACTGTCCAGATGACCCAACTGAAAAATGTTGGATTGCATACCTGGATTATTGAGCATGGACTTTGCTGTTTTAATTAAATTGCCCATGACTGAACTTGTAGGGGCAGAGATTTTTTTTAAGGGTAGAATCAGAAATGCTTACTTGAAGGGGCAGCTCTGATATATTAGAAAGCTCGTAACTGGCTGTTATGTCTACGATTAGTGTTTATGTCATTATTTTCAGATTACCTATCCAATACATGTATTGGTTTTATTCTTTCAAGGCAGTCAAACGGGTTCATAGCTTTATTATTGGTAAGCCTGAGAGTTACCAGATCCAAGCAAACCGTTACCGGAACGCACCCTGTCAAAATAAGAGCATTCTGGCAAGATCCGGCTCAAATTAAGCCCCGGGTGCAGGTCATGGTATGACTTCAGTGGAGAACAAGTTAAGAAAAAAGATCACTGATCTCTATTTTTGTAAAAAGATCATTAAAATAAATGACATGTCAATCCTAAAGTTTCTCCTTAAGATAAAAATGTTTTCTTAGTCAAATTTGTGTCTGTGCTTTTGTTTTATGCACAAGGACAAAAAATACTGTGCATGTAAACTTCTGCTTTCATCTCTTGATAATAACCTTACATTGTACGTACTATTGGAGACGTACGGCTCTGAAGCACAAACATTCCTTACAAGTAAAAATGATGCAGATCAGAACAAAGTTCTTCATGGTTGGACCCACTTCACTAAAACATTTGAACTCTTTAGTTTGTCTGCATGGTCCGACAGTGTAGCAGTTATCAAACCTTCGAATGTCAAACAACATCTGTAATGTCCGTTCCTTGTCCTGTTTTCTCCCCGTAGGTCCGACAGCTCCTTCAGCTTCTTCTTCTTCTTCTTTGTCTTTTTTATGCAAGTGGCCGTGTACATTATCCAGTCTGTGGGGATTCCCTCATGGGGAAACAGGTCAGTACAAACTGAAGAAAACACTTGTTAGTTTTAAGGTGTCAACGTTTTAATTCCTGAGAACTTTCATTGTTTGGATTGTCTCTTTTTAAATGTCTGAACTTCACATTTTTCTTTAGGAAATTGTTCAACGTTCTGTTTTTAAGCCTTTTCAATCTTCAGCTTTGCGAGCCTCGTTCATGTTTGTGTTTTACACTCAGGGGCGTACTGTGTGCTGGTTAATTCTGTAGATTCTGGCTCATGATTGTCTGTTTGACAGTGGCTGGATCTTATCGATCTCTGTGCTTGGTACCAACTTGGCAGTTGCTGTGATTATGATGGTAGTGGCCGGGTTTTTCACCATGAACGCTGTCCTGGCTGTCATCCTGCTAAAAATAGTAAGTTCATATAAAACATGTTGCATGTTTTCTTCTATGGAGTTTTATTTATTTTTTCCAAAATCATCCAGTTAAGCTAAATTCACAGTAACATGTCTCAGTGTAAGTGACATATATTGAACTGTCCTATTTTTAAGCATAACTGTTAAAATTAACGAGAGCAGTTTCTTATGATTAACTGGACTTGACTAAAAAAGAAGCCCCAATGTCTGAAACGTTCTTGTTGTTTTTGTCTGCTAAAAAGTTTGTTCTAACTTACTGAAACTACATCAGGATGAAAGGATGGAAATTTATAAAAATTAAAAAGCTGTATCCAACAAAAGAGGCAACAAAACCTTTAATCAACACAAGACATAGAAAGGCAGTACAAAAACCGACTAAAGATTCAGAAACGCTAACCATTCACTCATGAGAACAAGAAAATGTTTGAGTTTTCTTCTTTTATCAGTACTGATGGGGGCGGGGTCTGGGGGCAAAAAAAGCAGCTCAGGGGCCGGACATCCAGCAATTAAAGTTATTATGTAAATAAACCAAGTATTACAATGATCTGTTACTTTTTAAATTTGTTTATTTTGTTGCATTGAATCATAAATGCAATAAACAGAAATGTGTGTGTGTGTGTGTGTATATATATATATATATATATATATATATATATATATATATATATATATATATAAAATCTTAACTTTATTTTTCAGAGGTGCTGAAATAAACTTATGGGGTGCCCCCAAAAGGAGGCTAAAATTACGACTGCTTATAGCCTTCATTGTTCTTATTTCAGGTCCATGCTAAGTACAGGAGGACAGGAGCGAGCTTCACCAAGGCCCAGGAGGAGTTTTCCAAAGGAGTCCTGACCAATCGAAACTTTCAGAACGCTGCAGCGTCTGCTGCTACCTCTGCTGCCCAGGGAGCCTTTGGCCAGAACCATCAAAATTAGACTGCTCCCACTTGTGCCTCAGTCTATTATTCTGTCAGACCTGCAGACCAAGACATATTTTCAATAATTATTATTAAGTAAACTTAAGGGACACAAGTTTGATTATTTTGTTAAAATTAGTCAAACCAGCAATATCTTGTTATAAAAACAGGCCTAAGAAGGCATCCATTCTCCTCTTATAGGACTAAATTTTGCATTGTGGCAACAAGTAAAAATAAGAAGGCATGTTAAAGCATGTAACGCTTTGAACATGACTGTTATTTTTAATATTATAATTGAACTTTTAAACACTGCGTGCTGTTGGTTTCGGTAAGTCTCAACAAAAGTACTGAAGGATAAAAATGAGTAGAAACCATTCTTGGGGATGCAGTTAAGGCATTTATTTTAAATTCAGCTTTTGTTAAACGCAAAGTGTTAATTTACAACCATCACACAGGAGCCTTAAGAATAAATTCTGCATGCAGAGTTTGACTTGTACAAAAAGCAATACTTTGCATGTGCAGACTGCATTTTTCTGACTTAGCATCCTACACACTGTAAAACACCTGGAGCCTTTAGAATAAAGCACTGCATGCAGAGGTTGATTCATATATTCTGCATGTGAGGCCTACGGAGTGACCAGTTTATCCTTCTGACCTGAACTTACAGCATACCAAGTTGAATTTATGGTGATGTTTTTAAGATTTGATGTTTTCATCAGCATTAGCCTGCACAAGCTAATGACTAATGAAGGTGATGGGATGAAGGCCTATTTTTATCAACTTACTGAGTTTTGATAGAATATGTCTAAATGGGTAAATGAAGGTGAAAGAGGGGGATGTTACATTTTATTCATGTAGAGTTGTGAAGGAGACTTTTGTTTTCTTTCATTTTCACAAACACTAGGGTTACTAGTTGAAACCTTCAGGCTTGATGTAAATTTACTGACATTTTTGAAGTTAGACATTGCATTAAAGAGCTGAAAGAACAATACTTGCACATAAATGTTAAATGTAGTTACTATTTAAAGGGTGTTTGGAGTTTTGCTTCTCTTTGCATGTAAATATCTGACAAACGTATCTTATTTTGTCATTGTAACACCAAATTAGATTATGATTAACTTGGTGCCGTTTAAGCAGATTTGTGTGGGAGTTATGATTGTATGCTCATGAATAGATTTGTGTTTTGGTGAAGTTTCTCTGTCTTAATCATAATGTCTATTAAAATGTTCTTATTTAAACTATTCAGTGGATGGGTGTTGCTTTGAACACATTCTCTGTCTGAACATGCAATAAACTGGTTTAAATAAAGCCTTTAAGTCTCTAATGTTGCACTTGCTGAATGCTTCATCCATATGATTATTGACTGGAATGGTTGGAAGCCAGTCTTGCAGAAAGGTACCACATGTAAAGGCTAAAAGGTCACGTCAAGATTACCGGTAAATGCAAGGGTTATTTGTCAAAGATTTCTATATATGTTTAAACTTGTATATTGACTTTGCATCAGTTTGTTTATTTGGTGCACATAAATGCAAGGCATTATATTCTAAAACCCTCTTAACAGTCCAGATAAGCAATCTTTGTATTTCATAAAATGTACCATTCATTGTGAATGCTTGGGGTGGTGCAGTAACTGGAAATCCCCTTGCAGTTTTGCCAGCGTTAACTTTAGCAGGAAGAGCTTTGAGTTAAGAATGTTAATCCTGAAGTTACACATATTTGTATTTTTTTTCAGTTTGGTGTTTGTGTCACCAGTTTTAATATTTGACAGAGTGACGGACATGAGAACGAGACAAAACATTTAAACTCCAATCCTAGAAAAGTATTTAAAAAAAAACAACAACTAGGTAGGTGTTTCCATAATTTAGCTCCTTGATGCCATGCTTGATGCTGACTGTAAACACTTCCGGGTACGCCCACCTGTGCAGCAGTCTGTAAAGCAGAAATCCTGTGGGCAGGTCTTCTGTAACCATGGCAACAGCTTCTACTGTTGACCACATCTCAAGATGGCGGACGAGGAGAAAGCGACGGCGGTGAGTGCAAACCTCAAAACCCCGTCACTCCTTCGCTGGAGTAAAATGTAACATTAACACTTAACCTTGTGAAGGCGTAAAACTTTCCAGTGTAACGAAATTGTCTGAGCTCTACTTCTGTGTTCCGCTTGTTTACACGCCTGTTAGCTGCCTGGCTAACCGATAAGTCGGAGCTTAGTTCCTGAGCTGCAGCTAACTTTAGTCTAATCTTTATTAACCCACCGCCAACTAGAACCGTACAGCTATAAAAGCAGACAGGCAATTACAGTTTAAATAGATCAGCACAGCGCAGATTTGTGTTGATATCCACTATTTTAGACCGCTGCTTTAGCGTCAAATAACAAAATACGACTTCACTCCCGTCGTCTCTCAGTTCTAGCTGAGTTATTGGAGTAAAATATAATGTTCGGTGTGTCATGAGCTAGAAGAAGTAGCCCAATGGAAACTACATGGAAGCGACATTCGTAACTGCATTCAAAACAAAATTTTAGTGATGATGAATATAGAAAACATGACAAATAGGATTGCGCATGCGCGCGTGGACTGCTAGACTTGTAGAAAATACTAATGTACTAGCATTTACATTTTATCACATTTTACTCTAAAACTATTTCTTCTGTGGCTTACACTAAGTGAAAGTGCAAGCAGGATTAGAAACTCATAAAGAAGTAGTCTCAAAATTCAGATTGTTCTGTCATCCTGTTCCTTAATCTGCAGGTGACCCTTGTGTTGTCAGAGTCAGAGATTTATTTGTCATACACATGTGGTACATGAGGTGGGACGAAACTATGTACACAGGGTACCAGATGCATCCAACAAAAACACAAATTATAAAGAAAAGCATTAGTAAGATCTGAGTCATGAATTAAGAATATACTACATTCACTAAACTACAAACCAGATTCCAAAAAAGTTGGGACACTAAACAAATTGTGAATAAAAACTGAATGCAATGATGTGGAGATGGCAAATGTCAATATTTTATTCGTAATATAACATAGATGACAGATCAAAAGTTTAATCTGAGTAAATGTAACATTTTAAAGGAAAAATACGTTAATTCAAAATTTCACAGTGTCAACAAATCCCAAAAAAGTTGGGACAAGTAGCAATAAGTGGCTGGAAAAAGGAAATTGAGCATATAACGAACAGCTGGAAGACCAATTAACACTAATTAGGCCAATTGACAACATGATTGGGTATAAAAAGAGCTTCTCAGAGTGTCAGTGTCTCTCAGAAGCCAAGATGGTAAGAGGATCACCAATTCCACCATTGTTGTGCAGAAAGATAGTGCAGCAGTACCAGAATGGTGTTACCCAGCGTAAAATAGCAAAGACTTTTAAGTTATCATCATCAACCGTGCATAACATCATCAAAAGATTCAGAGAATCTGGAACAATCGCTGTGCATAAGGGTCAAGGCCGTAAAACTCTACTGGATGCTGGTGATCTCCGGGCCCTTAAAAGTCACTGCACCTCAAACAGGAATGCCACTGTCAAGGAAATAACAGAATGGGCTCAGGAATACTTCCAGAAAGCATTGTCAGTGAACACAATCCACCGTGCCATCCGCCGTTGCCAGCTGAAACTCTACAGTGCAAAGAGGAAGCCATTTCTAAGCAAGCTCCACAAGCTCAGACGTTTGCACTGGGCCAGGGGTCATTTAAAATGGAGTGTGGCAAAATGGAAGACTGTTCTGTGGTCAGATGAGTCACGATTTGAAGTTCTTTATGGAACACTGGGACGCCATGTCATCCGGACCAGAGAGGACAAGGATAGCCCAAGTTGTTATCAACGCTCCGTTCAGAAGCCTGCATCACTGATGGTATGGGGTTGCATGAGCGCTTGTGGCATGGGCAGCTTGCATGTCTGGAAAGGCACCATTAATGCAGAGAACTATGTTCAGGTTCTAGAACAACATATGCTCCCATCTAGACGTCATCTCTTTCAGGAAAGACCCTGCATTTTTCAACACGATAATGCCAGACCACATTCTGCAGCAATCACAACATCATGGCTACGTAGGAGAAGGATCCGGGTACTGAAATGTGCAGCCTGCAGTCCAGATCTTTCACCTATAGAGAACATTTGGTGCATCATAAAGAGGAAGGTGTGACAAAGAAGGCCCAAGACGATTGAACAGTTAGAGGCCTGTATTAGACATGAATGGGAGAGCATTCCTATTTCTAAACTTGAGAAACTGGTCTCCTCTGTCCCCAGACGTCTGTTGAGTGTTGTAAGAAGAAGGGGGGATGTCACACAGTGGTAAAAATGGACTTGTCCCAACTTTTTGGGGATTTGTTGATGCCATGAAATTTGGAAACAACAGATTTTCCTTTAAAATGATACATTCTCTCAGTTTAAACTTTTGATCTGTGATTTGTGTTCTATTCTGAATAACATATTAGATGTTGGCACCTCCACATCATTGCATTCAGTTTTTATTCACAATTTGTTTAGTGTCCCAACTTTTTTGGAATCCGGTTTGTAAGAATACACAAGACTAAGAATATGCTAAGCACTAATAGTACAAAAACAATGTGCCAAAACAACAGCAGCATGAGATCAGCAGCATAGATAGTCAGCAGCACACATCAACAAGCATTACAGCGATTTTTCACAGTAATTTTTCCTGGTTAGAGATTCATGAGTCTAACAGCCTCAGGGTAGAAGCTGTTCCTCAGTCTAGTGGTTCTACACTTAAAGATCCTCAGCTTTCTGCCTGAGGGGAGCGGGGCAAAAAGTGTGTGCCGGGTGTGTGGAGTCCTTCATGATGCAGGTGGCCCTCTTCCTGCATCTAGAGGTGTAGATGTATGTGACGGTGGGGAGACTGACTCCAACAGACTTCTGTGCAGCCTTCATCACTCTCTGCAAAGCTTTTCTTTCTGCAGCTGTGCAGCCTCCATGCCACACG